CTGATAATATACTCCTCCCATGTAATCCAAGATGTTCATGTCTTTCTTTACTCAGTCAAAAAGGAATTAAAGTTTTTGAGGAAAACATTCAAGGATTTTTCTCCATAAAGTGGACTTCAGTGGGACCCAATGGGTTGAAGGTCCAAATTTCAGTTTTAATGGAGCTTTCAAAGGGCTTTACAAGTTCCAAGCGACCCTTATTCCTAGGCTGAGATAGTGTAAAGTCATTTGAAAGCTGCATTGAAACTGAAATTTGGACCTTCAACCCGTTGGGTCCCATTGAAGTCCACTTTACGGAGAAAAATCCTGGAATGTTTTACTCAAAAACCTTTTTCGACAGAAAAAAGAAAGACATGAACATCTTGGATGCATCTCCATTTTACAGAATTTTTATTCAAGTGCCTAAAACTTTTAACAGCACTGTAGCTTCGCAGGTAGGTTTCTTAAAGCATCTTGGAGACGTTGCCACAGTTCGTCTCTTTTAGTGTAATAATAAGTAAAACCAAAACATACAACAAAAGGTCCATGACAGACACAGCAGATAAAGAGCAGTCCTCCTCCAAATTGGCAGTAATCAGCTGGATCAGCTGGGGGTAAAAAAAGAAAAAAGATTGTGAGAAGACACCTGTTTTATCTGGGATTAAAACAAACTAAAAACATGTAAGAAAAATACTGTGAACATTCCTTTAAGTTTTTGCCACTGGATTGACATCCTGTGGTAACTAGGATTTACACAAGCTTCAGTCTGGATCCAGAACACCTGAGAAGTGAATGGCAACCCCTCAGAGGACCTCAGATGATGCCAACCCTGAAACCACATGCAGAACTACCAATTTTTGCTATAAGTTTGATTGCATCATATAAAAATTGCTGTTAATAGTGTTCATCATCTGTTTGATTACGTCTTTAATTGATTTTTCCGTACATTTCTGCCATATGTACATTAACTGACAGTCACCACTGATAAGCTACCACTAAATATTGTAGAATCTTAATTTGCTGTAAAGTTGCTTTGCAATGATTTGTATCGTGAAAAGCGCTATACAAATAAACTTGAATTGAAACTTGAATTTATGCATGTGTTTTAGGTTAATTTTTGGAATATTTTTGGAAGATGGAGAGACAAATCTGTAATTATTTCAGAAAGTATTGATGATAGTGATATGAGTGCATCAGAAAATCAGGTTGTAGTAATAAAACAAGTTGTTGAGGACCAAGGAGGATAGAAACAATGAGGGTGAGGGCATTGATGAAGAATAGGTTGTTGTGGAAGTCAGGCATTTGGGCACATTATTGTATGCCAGTTTGAAATATGTGATCCATACAACAAGCAGAGGTAAGGAAAGATGTCAATGTCTATTGGCATTACTATACTGACAGTATAGTAATACTATATGCTCCAATGATGACTGCACATGTCAACATCTACTCACGTGTGGGACATGTGGGGTATATCGAAAAAGAAGAGTCTTGTTGACTTTCACTTGTGCTACGATAATTGATTTGAAATTACAAGATGAAACACAATGTTAAAGTTGTTTTAATGCTTTTGAAAGACTAAGACATGGTTTTCAGGCAGTGAAATTGCATCCAAATTTGTGTCAAGTTTTAGACATTTTCACACGCAAGTTCCAAATCAAATATAGCAGCACAAGAAAAAAATGGGATGTTCATAAAGATTTTTAATGTTTTTTGAAACATTAATAACTTTTCACTTCTTTTCAGATAGTGAAAAAGCATTTGATTGTGTGTGAAGTTTCAGACAATTTGCCAAAAATAATTTACCCTAGTGGGACAACGTCAGTTATAAATGACGGATCCCTACAAAAAAGGTCAAAGGTCGGATGAAGAAAAAAAAATTTGGACAATTATTTTACTCCTAAATATATGTAAAATATAAAGTCAAATATTTTTTAAGCTGTAAATTCACAATTAGTCCTATAGAGGGTTAGAATACTTACAGAGAGAGAGAGAGGGAGATCATTTAACCATTATCATGCAATATTTTATTTATCTTATTTACCATGGGGCACATAATTCTATTAATATGCTGTCATGCACAAGCATTCAATAAAATGATCATAAAAGTATTTAAATTTTATCCAAATCTTCGGTATCCATGTGATGCTTTGTGTGAAATTCAGACCATTCATCGATATTTATCTCCTTCCTCTGTAGCTATAGTAACAATTTCAAAATTTGCCATTTCGAGAAGTTTTACAGCATGTTTTACGGCAGTGATATCAAATGCTCATTGGCTCTCGCCGGTTTCGTCATAAATTGCGACGTGCAGTGTTTCCGGTGATGTGTGTTTGAATGAGAAATGTGCAGTGTTGCCAATTTGGGGATTTTGTCACCAAATTTAGCTACTTTCTCATTGTAGCTGCGACTTTTTTAAATTTTTGCGACAAGGAGCTATTTTAGCTATATTTAAATAAAACTAGCGATATTTGGGAGATTTTTTATTTTTTACTTGGCCACACCCTGCCGTAGGCCCGTGACCTCTCATGTTTGCTCTCAATCATGCCAACAGGTGCGTTCGACTTCATGCAGCACTGCGCAGACCGATCGGTGGCTGACTTGAAGCAGTGCATGCCGGTTAGAAATTTAGTCCGACTTGAACCGAAGCCACGTCAGTCATGTGTGGCATCAAAGTACCGCGATAGCGGTTCGAGAGCAGCCGGCTGACTCAGCTGGCGCAGCTTTTTCAGAGCGACTGCAGGAGTGCTGATGACGACACAGCTGTTTCACGATTGGCCAGATTCACCACATGACAACAATGACGTGTGTTTCTAACATCTTCAAATCCAATACTGCTC